GCGCCAGGGATCGGCACGAACGAAGTGGCACGGAAAGAATGGGTACTTACGAAATGGGCACGTCGACTTCCAGGAAAGTGTGGGGAAATATGGGGAGTGGGGGGGAAGGCAAAAACATTGAAAATGTTGGAAAATATTGGGAATCCTAATATTTGTGTGTATTTATTTGTGTGTGCCTGGGCTCCTTTTGACAAGCCTTTCGGCACGAACGAAATGGGTATGGTAAGAATGGGTACGATGTCCAGCAGCAGTTCCTCTTTTCATTCTGAACAGGACTCGCTGTCGGTGACGCCGCGGCCTGTGTCCATTTGAGGCAGAGGGCCGCCTGCCCAACAGCGGCCGCTGTTGGTTTGGGACAAAATCTGTTGTTGGGCGTTGTACCCATTCTTTTCGTACCCATTTCGGGCGTCCAAAAGGGAGCCCCGACCCCCGCGGGTCATGAAGAAGTCAGTCACGGCGGGAGGTTTTTCGCTACGTTCGGCCTCCCTGGGCCCTCGGGACCGTGAAGCATCAACTCAGGATGAAGAGTCGGTCCCGGGGAATCCAGACCGCTGGGAGTCCACGCCATGGAAAGGTCACGACGTCGGTGGTCTGGGCGGCGGGGGTTGGGGCGGGGGCCCCCCGGACCCTGGGGGCTGCAATTTGTGTTTCACGCCGGACCTCTGCGCCCGGCTTCGGACCCTGGGGTCATCGGAGATCGACTTGGCTGGGAAAGATGCAGTAGTAGAAGGTTTCGCGATGTGGCCCTCGAAGCCTTCTGGCGGTTCTCGGAGGGCTTCTCTCGCCTGGCGATTCTCTCCTTCAGCAGTGCCTCGTCGAGAGCTGCTCCTCTGGGGGTGCCCCGACCGCTGCGATCGGCCGCCGGAGGGTCCGAGATCCGGACGTGTCGTCGCCGTCCTCGCCGTCGCCGTGGCCGTCGCTGCCGTCTTCGTCGTCGCCGCCTCCCTGGCCGTTATCGAGCCGATCCGAGGTGATCGGCGGCTGCGCCAGGGGTGGGCAGCCCAGGGGGGGACGCGTGTATCAGATGCCGGGATACACACGCTGGTGGTTGAAAGTGCGTGTTCTTGTGCTCCCAGGTGCAAATCCGTTCTTGCCGCCTTCGTACCTCAAGAGTCGAGTCGTTTTCCCCTCCTCTTCAGGCGGCGGGTGGGAACCCAATCTTTCAGGAGGGGAAGAAACACACAGACATAATTATTCGTCGATTCCCAGAAAATATGGGAAAATATGGGAAGTGGGGGGGAAGACAAAAACCCAGGAAATATGGGGAAATATGGGTAATCTTTTTATTTGTGTGTATTTATTTGTGTGTCCTGAGGCCCCTTCAATCTTTTTCTAACGCCTTCCCACTTAATGTTTCCACCCACTTCTTCCGACCGACGGGTACTGGTGGCACGGGCCAGCAATGAAATAGTCAATCGTTGAACACAAGTAAGTGAGGTATTCAGGAGGCCAAAGGCTTGTCCGATTTATGCTGTGATGTGCTATAACACTGATGATCCACAATGTTGGGATTCAGGGTTTTCGGGAAGGTGGGAGTATACGTAGCGTTCGAGGCCCGTGTATGCAACGTACATGACATCTAGTTAGCATTGGGGGCCTCAGGGTTTCAGTGTGTGTGTGTGTGTGTGCGTAGCGTTCTGGACATTTTTTTCCTAGCTGCACTCAACTGATGAACCTTTGAACTCAGCCACCTGATTTAGTGACGACAAACACTTCTGCTACGCCTCCCCTCAGACCCTAACTCCATGACTCTTATTGACTGTCCTGGAATGCTCTATCTCTCCTCCTGATGGTTCACGATCCCCCTCCCTGTCAGATGTCTCTGTCTTAGTCTCTCTCTCTCTCTCTCCCTCCCTCTTTTTTATATCTCGCTCTCTCTGACTCTCTCTCTCTCTTTCTCTCCTCATCTTCCTCGTCTCAGCGACCTCGCAAATACCTTCACCTTCCCTCTCCCTGATCCTGCTGTTTCCCGCCCATTCTCTCCTATCCTCTCCTTCCTCCTGCCTCTGCTCCTCCTCCCCCCCTTGTCCTACTCCCTCCAACCAGCCTTTTCGAGCGTCGGGCTTTTTGCACTCAGGGGGGGGTCTGTTGACCCGTGGCCCTCCGAACAAAACCTCCCATCATCCAGAGGGTTCGACACCGAAATGCGAAACAAAGTCGCCACTCGACCACCCTGGTTGAGGGGGAAACAGAAGAAGGGCGAGCGAGGGGGGAGGGCGAAAGGAGGCGAGACGACAAAAAGGAAAGGAGGACGGAAGAATGAGGGTGCAGCTGGAATAAGTACCAGGCATGAGCGAATTTGGGTGACGGATAGATGAAGATGGATAAATGTTGGGGGCGTAAGGGGGGGCCGGTAAATATAGGAGAAGGACAGACGAGAGGGAGGATGAGGGTAAAGAGGTCGGGACTGAATATGAACGAGGATAGGTGGTCTGAGGGGGAGGGGATGGAGTGCATGACGAGGACGGAACAAATAATACGAGGGGGATGCGCGTTGTGAAATCCATAGGTTTCCCGCTTTAGTCGCTTGCAGGCGTTATGACATACATACACCGCGTGTGCGTCTCGGGCACTCATCATAATCTCATCCCCATGTTGTTTTAAGTTGTTCCTGCTTAATGCGCATGGACCATGCTCATTGTTCCTCCGATTCGAAAGAGCGTGTTCTACTGCTGCTGGCGGAAAACCGGGGGGTCACTACCGGTTCGAACCCCTCCCCCCTCCCCCTCGAAAACGGGGGGGGGGTCACTACCGGTTCGAACCCCTCCCCCCCCCCCAGTTCATCATGAAAGGGGGGGGGGTCACTACCGGTTCGAACCCCCCCCCCTCGAACTCGAAAACCGGGGGGGGGTCACTACCGGTTCGAGCCCCCCCCCCTCGAAAACCGAGGGGGGATGCGGACAGTGGTGGGGACGGTGGTGGTGGGGACAGTGGTGAGGGGACAGCGGGACAGTGGTGGGGACAGTGGGACAGTGGTGGGGACGGTAGTGGTGGGGACAATGGTGAGGACAATGGTGGGAACAGTGAAGACAGTGGGACTGTGGTGGGGACGGTGGTGGTGGGGACAGCGGTGTGGGGACAGTGGGAATGTGGTAGAAACTGTAGGACAGTAGAGGGTACAGTGGTGGTGGGGACAGTGGTGAAGGCGGTGGCGAGGACGGCGGTGGGACAATGGGACAGAGGTACAGTGGGGACAGTGGTGGGGACAGTGGGGACAGTGGTGGGAACAGTGGGACAGCTCAGTGGGACAGCGGAGGAGTCAGTGGGACAGTGGGGACAGTGGGGATAGTCGGGCAGTGGTTGGGGCCGTGGAGAAAGTTGGGAGAGTGGAGCCGTGGTGGGAACAGTGGTGGGGACAGTGGGGACAGTGCGACAGTGGTGGTGGCACTGGTGGGGACAGTAGGGGCGGTGGTGGAACCAGTGGGGACAGTGGTGGTGAGTGGCGCTGGGAACAACAGTGGGGGATGTGGTGAGGACGGTGGTAGGGACCGGGAGTCGTTTGCTGGCGGTGAGAGGGGTGGGGGTGGGGAGGGGTTCGAACCGGTAGTGACCCCCCCCTCCGATTTTCGAGGGGGGGGTCGAACCGGTAGTGACCCCCCCGGTTTTCGGTTCGGTTTTCGAGGGGGAGGGGGGAGGGGGGGGGCAAGCTAGGTGCGCTCGCGTCATATCTGACGTCCTACCCCTCCCTCCCATCCCTTACCATGGCGCTGATTTTCTCTATCCGCGGACGCGTGTCGTAGCGGACCTGTGGCTCCGCGCGCGCGTGCGTAGTGGGTGGTGGTGCGCGTGCGTGCGTGCGTGCGTGTGTGCGTGGTTGTGGTGGTGTGGTGGTGGTGGTGGTGGTGGTGGTGGTGGTGGTGGTGGTGGTGGTGGTGGTGGTGCTGGTGGTGGTGGTGGTGGTGGTGGTGGTGGTGGTGGTGGTGGTGGTGCGGCGCGGTGGTGGCGGGCGGATGGGCGCGCGAGAAAGAGGCCCGCGCTGGGGCGAGAACGCCATCCTGAACGACGGAGGCCAAACACCGATCCGAAAATGAGGCCCACGCTGCAGCGGGAGCACGATTCGGAACGATTCGGGAGCAGAAATGAGGCCGGCGCCTCAGCGAGAGCAGCATTTTGAAAAAAACGCAGGCGAAAACCCAACTCCCGGGAATCCTGTTGGTAAACAAACAGTACGCGGGGGGGGGTCAACTACTTTCAGGCCGCCATCGGGGGAAGAGGGAGAGTAGTATTCATATTGAGTAATTGTGGAGGGGTTAGGGAAGGGGGGGGGTTTGCCGGGGGAGAGGGGGGGGGTCCAGCAGGGGGGGGGGATTTTCGGAGGGGGGGAGGGGACCCCCGGGTTCCCGAGGAAAAGGGCGGCAATTTTCCACAGTAGAGCGGCGGTGGATCACGCTTTCTCTCCGATTCTGACACCTCATGCGGCATTGTGCCTTCCGATTCTGACACTTCATCATGCGTGGATGCTTGCAGATTTAGTTGAGGCCGCAGTTGGCAGGCCTGAGGTTGCTCTGGCCGACGCGGCCGCGGGACCAGCGCCCGCTGGGCTGGGTCACGGCCGCGGCCGTGGCGGCCGAGGGCGCGGCCGAACCAGCTCGGGTAGCTGCGCCAGGGGAGGTCATGGTAAAGGTCGTGGCAAAGGTCGCGCACGAGGATTCCGGCATGTTCCAACGACTCGATTGAACATTGAAACTCAACAAACAACAGGGTACAAGCAAAACCGTACTCGATGCGGTGGAAGGTGGGGTTTCTGTTCGTAGCCAAAGAATAGTTGCCAGCTTGTTCAGTGATTCGCACACGCCAATGGGGCTCATGAAGCAATCTACAGATCTTGTGGCCACGCCTGACGGGGCTACTTCCGTCACAGTGTGCCGCCAGAAACACTGGCGCGGCCGACGTCAACAAATGATTAATTTCCCATGTCGAGGCTCAGGCAAGAGGCCTGCGCAAGTGGGTTGAGTGACGATATGCACAGAGGCTGTCATTGTCTTCATGTCGCCAATGTC